GCACCAAGGAGCCTTCAGTCCATCTTGGGTCCACTGTGTCAAATTAAGATCTGAGTCAACCAATATGAATGCAGAAGCAGGGAACCTTTTTCGGCCAAAGACCTTACGATGTGATGGAATAATGACAGATGTCAATGTGGAGAGTATGGAAAAAGCTTCAGGGCGAACAATTTGTCAATAAAGGTGTTCTATTCTGTGTGTCATTGTCGACTCCTAATCTGGTCCAATGTTTTCCTAGCAATAGAGCCTTCGGCTTTTCTTGTTTTGCTTTTTCATTTTATTTTTCCTCTTTTCATTTATGGTCTAATAGTATATCCCTTCCTTAAATTCTCCAAGGGGCTTAAGCTTCCTAGTCACATTTCTTGAGGAGAATTTCCTACTCAATCGCTCTATAAAAATGGATTTTCCTCATCATGGTTCAGCTTTATATTCCTTTTTTTGTCAAGTTTTTTATTTTTTAATTATTTAAATACATCTTTGCGAGAAGAGTGTGGTTTCAGCTGTTTTACATTAAAATCATTCATAATCACAAATACAACTCTCCAGCATCATTTCATTGTCTATTATCATTTTTCCATCTTTATATTCTCATAAATTACTTTGTATCAGTCTCTTTAACTCATTTTCTAACTTCCTTTGTCATATATTCTACATATTTACAATTTAATCATATCATTTCATTTCAAAATTTTCATCTTAGTTTACAGTTATCCCTTCTCTAATTTCCTTCATTGTACATTCTTATGTTCACCATGTTTATATTATCAAGTTTATAACAATATATCCTCATTACCTTGTACAAGTGGATAACAAAATATTTAATTCATTAAAACATATTAATCTCTGATTTTCTTAATCATGTATTCTTGTGCCCACCATGTTTACAATTTCATACCATTCTTTAAACATTCAAAAATTCCATCTTAATTTATATTATCCCCTATTATATTCCCCCATTACACTTGCCATTATTGCTTTTATTTTATTTTCTATATGTTCCTTTCCCTCTAACATCTCATTTTAACACAAATATATTTTCTCTTAGCCAATACATTCAAACTTACATTACCTTGTTACCTTGTATATATGAATAACAAAATATATAGTTCATTAAAAATATTATCCTACTATATAGTTATATCCATTCTCTGTCAGGCTCCACATAACATTTCTTTTCATATCTTAACTATGGATCACATATCTTACATACACATTTCTATTTTATTTGATTAATCTATTATAGATTCTTATTTTCATCACTATTACATTAAAATTATTCCTTTTTCTAGTTCTTAATCCCATTTCCTCAAAATCTATTATATATATTTACTACAAATATACCTCTTCATGTGGAATCTCCCTTTTCCATTTCTAGCCACTATCTCTTTCTTTTATGTTAATTCCTCTTTTGTTAGCTTGCTTTACTATCATCTTTTGGCTTTTTCCCTTAGTCCTTCCTCTATCATAATTTTCTTATATTTTCTCTCCCTTTTCTCAAAATTTGCCCCCACCCTCTTTTGATCACTCTGTGTTTCCCTAACCATTTTATTTATCAGCATTTCAATCTCAATATCCCCCCTTATTTATTATATCTATTACTGATATCTCGTATTCAACTTTTTTCTTCTGTATTATTTGTTGGTCCTTTTGTTCCGTTTCACTGGTTCCTCTTTCTTCTAACTCCTTCCCCTTCTTTGTTCTTTCTCCTCCTTCTGCCGTTGCAATTTCTGAATATTCTTCTGTATTTTAGTGCATAAATCCAACATTCTGTCCCACATCTCATTCTTGGCTTGAATGTCCATTCTTACTTCTTTACACATTTCACTCATCTTTATATTGTTTATTATTCCAATTGTCTAGTATCCAGTTTATTTTATTTTACTTGAACCAGTATCTTTTCTTTGTTTTAAAATATCAATGTCCTCAAATCTTTATTTCCAATGTTAATAAGTCTAAAACACCAATAATTCCCGAGGTTGTATCCTATATAATTGCTCTTTGATTATAATATATTCCAACTTCCAGGGGTCTTATTATAATATCTTTCTGTTATTCCTTTTTAAATTTCTTCTTTTAATAAGATCATTAGTTTGAAGGAATCTACAGCATTTTTCTTTCACCAGCAAGTGGCATTTTTAGTCCAGTTCCAAAGCCACTCTTTTTCCATTTCTTTATTTAACTTCACCAATTTCAAAAATCAAATATTATTCCTCTTTAGAACAATTATTTCCAGCATTCAGATTAATTTCCCACTCAATCGGCCTGTAAAAATGGTTTTTCCTCATCATAGTTTAGCTTTATATTCCTTTTCAAGGATCTTCCTTTTCTTTCATCCCAAGAGGCTGGGAGGGGTCTCTGCCTTTTCTGCTGCCCCCTTCGCTGAGAGGCTGAGCAACTAATTTGAGAAGGGCAGCTGCATGTATTGAATTAAAGAAAGAAATTAAAATCATTTTCCTGATTGTGGCCTTCCTGCCTGTGTCCCATCTGCCTCCCCTTCAGGCAGGAGATCCCAACAACTGCACGACACAAGTTGGGTTTCCAACAGAGGCTCCTAGTCCTCGTCTTCTGGCTGCCCAGCTGTTTCTGACGGGATTTGGAGCCTTTTGAGGCCTCCCACAATCTCTGTGGAGCCTTCATGGTGACTGTTTTGCTTCCTGAACAGGGAGGAGAGGAAGACGGAGAAAGTGCCACCTCTGGAGACGTCGAAGCCTTTGTCGGGCAGGGAACCATGGAGAGGGGCCTTTCCTCCTACTCCCAAGGCCATCATTCCCGCCCTCCCCCTCCCACACGGTATTCTTTCCTGCCCTTTCTACAATCATGGCACCTCCACCAGGGGGCGCCCTCCGCCAAGAGAAGGGAACTCCAGTCGCTTCCCCGTTGATCCACTGGAGGGGGAATTTAACCGCTGGATTTGAAGGGGAGACCGGGAAGAAAGGGACATCACAAATGCTTGCCGTTCTAGGATGTCGCACTCGCTGTCCTTTACCCCCGGGACTCAGCAGAGAGTAGAGAGGCTGCGGGAGTCTGGCGGTGAGAGATCCAGTCGTGCTCCGGTTGAGGGAGGTGACTCTTCCCGGGCAAAGGGGGGCGGAGGAGGGAGAGACCCGCGCCCGGCTCTCCTCCGCCTTCAACCCCGGATCCCATGCACCCCAGCCGCCCTCTCCATGCAGGGGGAAGCGGGGATGCCACGAAGGCGCCGGGGCCCCATTCCCGCCCCGTGCCCGGGGAAGAGCCTCTAGTTGGGGGGAGCGGAGGGTCGGCCTTGCGGAGGCCCAGTAGGAGAAGAGAAAAGCTGGGCGAGATGGAGGCAGGATTCGCACCCGGCTCCCCGAGGGCCCGATCCTGTCTCCGGAGGGGGAGAGAAGCTGGGAGGCCTCTTCAGCTGCCTTCTTCCCGGCCCTGCTCGGGGGGGGACCTCGACCCTGCGCTAGGATGAGCCACTTGGGGCTCCGGGCAGGTTAGGTCAAGGTTGCTCAGTGGCTTAATTCCACTTTCAAACAATTTGCAGGGATCCGTTGTGCAGTCCCAGAAATGGTCCTGTGAAGGAAAAGGCATCTGGAGATCCATAAGGGTCCTTGGACCCACTTGGAGTTGCTCTGCAGAAAAGAGGAAGGATGGAGACACAATCTTTTGCAAAGGAAGGAAGCAGAAAAGGCCTTTCAGCTGTTCAGCCTGCGAAGGGTGGGGAGATTTGGACCAGAACTGGGCAGAAGATCCTGGAAGAAGAAACCATCCTCCCTTCAGAAGTTCAGCCCTGGAACTTCATCCAATACCAGGATGCTGAGGGTCCTCGAGGATTTTGCAGCCGACTCCATGACTTTAGTAGGCGATGGCTGGGACCAGAAAAGCACACCAAAGCCCAGATGCTGGACCTGGTTGTTCTGGAGCAGCTCCTGTTCCATCTGCCCCCAGAGATGGAGAACTGGGTGCGGGAGTGTGGAACAGAGACCAGCTCCCAGGCGGTGGCCCTGGCTGAAGGCTTCCTCCTGAGCCAGGCGGACAAGCAGAAGGAGCAGGTACAGTTGCAGGTGAGACAATTTAGGGAGCTCCAAAGGGAATAGAGAATGTGTTTGAATACTTCACTCCTCTTTCCCAAACTTCTCTGACAATAATATGCGTTGATATCCCACCAATTCTTGTAGGACACTGTTCCACTGTTTTCTCACTCAGCCACAACGGATGGTTATTGAGGTCTTTGAGGTTGAGTTCCGAATATAAGAATCCGCTTTGTGTCATGTGATGTACATTAATTCTTCTTTTTTCCTTCCTTCTATTTGAAGGGCTGCACTGTGGAGATCAGAGATCCTGAGGGAAAGAAGAACCCATCAAATTCCCCTCAGGAGCTATTTTTCAGGAGGATCCCTTGGGAAGATCCAAGTCAGGACACCTCAGGAGGTAATTGAAGATCCTCCAATTACCCTTCTCTCTTATCTTCGGTCTCTATTCTCTTTTATAGAATACCTCCTATTTTATTACACATTTTGAAATTATTTATTCCTTACAGACAAACAAAGAATGAAGTTTTCTGGTTTTTATGACGGAGATCAAGTAGCGGTTGAATCTCCAAATCAAGTAAGAAAGGGAAAAGTTATTAAATTTGTATTCTCCCTTCAGGAAGTAAAATGGGTGTACGGAGTGCTCTCTCCTTCTATTCCCCCCCCCATCCCTTGTTTGGAGTGGATTATTTTTGTGTTCTTCCACAACATGGATGTCACAATAGCAGGTTCAAGTTGCTGTCAGCCAGCATAGCTTCCTCTGGTTATCTAGTTCTGCTAGGTACTCCTCCAACTTTGCGTTTACAAGAAGCACTTCTTTTGAAGTCCTTCAAAAATTAGGAATAAATGTATCACAATGGCAGGAATTGTTAGACCCTTGTTCTTTTTGTAATTTATCAACCTCATAAGGTACAGATTAACAGATTTGGAAAGTACCTTGTACGTCATCTAGTCCAACCCCACTACACCATTTCTGAGAATTGGCAATCTAGTCTCTTCTTGAAAGCTCCCATTGATGAAGCTCCCACAACTTCTGAAGGAAACTTCTGTTCCATTGATTGATTGCTTTCACTGTCAGAAAAAGTCTCTTTATTTCCAGGTTGAATTTCTCCTTGTTCAGTTTCCATCCATTATTCCTTGCCTGGCCTTCAGGTGCTTGACCCCCTCGTCTCTGTGCCAGCCCCTCAAATATTGGAACACTGCTATCATGTCTCCCCTGGTCCTTTCCTTCACTAGATTAGCCATGTCCAGTTCCTTTAACCGTTCATCGCATGTTTTAACTTCCAGTCCCTTAATTATCTTGGTTGCTCTTCTCTGCACTCTTTCTAGAATCATAAGATCTTTTTAAAATCGTGGCAACAATACTGGATGCAGTATTCCTAAGTGAGGTTCTACCAAGTCATTTTAAAGTGGTACTAACATTTCATATGATCTTGATTCTATCCCTCTCTTAATGCAGCCTATGATTCTGTTGGGATTTTTTGGCAACTGTAGCACACTACTGGATCACGTTTAAGCTATCGTCAACTAGGACTCCAAGATCCCTGTTCTACTTACTACTTTTGAGCCAAGTATCTCCTATTCTATGCCCATGCATTTGGTTTTCTTTCCTAAATGTAGTACATTACATTTCTCACCATTGAATTTCATTGTGTTAGAAGGTGCCAATCTGTTGATCCTTCTATATCTCAAGCGTATCTAGTGGAGTGTTGGTATTCCTGTCAATTTGGTCTTGTTTGCAAATTTGATGTGTTCCCCTTCTATTTCCTTGTCTAAATCATTGATGAAGTTGAACTTATCTTGCTGTTCTTTCTTTCCTCCTGTTCTTTCTTTTTACCTATGCAAGGGTCCTCTTTGTAGACTTTAGTTAAGCATTCAATACCATCATTCCAGACATTCTTGTGACTAAATTAAACCAGCTAGCAGTACCCGAACATACTTGTAAGTGGATCATAAGCTTCCTAAGAGACAGGAAGCAGCAGGTGAAGCTAGGCAGAATCACATCTGATACCTGTACAATTAGCACAGCCCCTCCAAGGCTGTGTGTTTTTACCACTTCTCCCTATATTCCAATAACTGCATCTCAAACGATCCATCTGTTAAAATACTGAAGTTGGCAGATGATAGAACAGTATTGGTCTCATTCGAGACAACAATGAAGACGGAAGGTTGTACAATTTGCCTTGTGCGACTGGAACGTGGAACTGAACACACTCAAAACCGTAGAAATGGTGGTAGATTTTAGGAGAAATACTACCACCTCTTACAATACTAGACAACACAGTAGAGACATTCAAATTTCTAGGTTCTATCATATCACAAGACCTAAAATTGACACCTAACATCAAAAACGTTATCAAAAAAGCACAACAAAGAATGTTCTTTCTGTGCCAACTCAGAAAGCACAAATTGCCCAAGGAGCTGCTGATTTAGTTCTACAGAGGAATTATTGAGTCTGTATCTGCACCTCCATGACTGTCTGGTTTGGTTCTGCAACCCAACAAGATAGACACAGACTTCAGAGAGTAATTAGGACTGCAGAAAAAACAATTACTACCAATCTGCCTTCCATTGAGGACCTGTATACAGCACGAGTCAAAAAGAGGGCTGTGAAAATATTTACAGACCCCTCACATCTTGGACATCAACTGTTTCAACTCCTACCCTCAAAATGATGCTATAGAGCACTGCACACCAGAACAGCTATAGAGTTTTCCCCCAAATGCCATCATTCTGCTAAACAAATAATTCCCTCAACACTCTCTAACTATTTACAATGTCTGCATTAGTATTACTATAAAACCTCCCATCCTTCCTTTCACCCATCTCCTCCCACTTATGATTGTATGACTGTAACTTTGTTGCTTGTATCCTAATGATTTTTATTGACTGTTTCCTAGTATGATTTGATTGCTTATTGTACCCTATAACTATTATTAAGTGTTGTACCTTATGATTCTTGACAAATATATCTTTCTTTTATGTACACTGAGAGCATATGCACCAATACAAATTCCTTGTGTGTCCAATCACACTTGGCCAATAAAGTATTCTATTCTATTCTATTTTTTTCATGTTCAGGGGAATCTGGTGTCCTTTGAGGAAGTGGCTGTGTATTTCTCTGAGGAGGAATGGTCTCAGCTGGATCCTGACCAAAAAGCGCTACATTCCGAAGTCATGCTTGAAAACCATAGGAACGTGGTCTCTTTGGGTAAGAGTTTTCTTGTCCAAAATCAGAGATTTCAAGAAAGCAGATTATGGTTACTATTTATTAAAAAAATCACTAATCAGATACCATCTCTTCCAGTGATGGGATTCAAATTTTTTTACTACCGGTTCTGTGGGCATGGCTTATTTGGTGGGTGTGGCTTGGTGGTCATGTGACTGGTTGGGCGTGGCTTGGTGGTTATATGACTGGGTGGGCGTGGCTTGGTGGGCGTGATTGGGTGGGCGTGGCCAACTCGACATCACTCACGTCAAGGGGCGTTTCGCCCAGTACCTCCCCTCCCAGCCACTCCTTGTTATCCTCAGTCTCAATGTATCTTTAGTTCTGTAAAAAAAATCACCTTTTTCGACTTTATTATCTGAATCCACATACTATATATGTACTTTTATGGACCACTGAAAGGAGGAAATGGTTCACATGCTTTGCCCAAGTAGTGTGATAGGCAGGTCACAAAATAGGGTTTAGGGGTTGCCACAAAGAAGGGGGGACAATGTATTTTCCAAAGCAGCAGAAGGCAAAACAAGAAGCAATGGATCGAAACTGAACAAAGAAGAAGCAACCTAAAACTAAGGAGAAATTTCCTGACAGTGAGAACAATTAACCAGTGGAACTGCTTGTCTCCAGAAGTTCTGGATGCTCCAACCGTGGAGGTTTTCAAGAAGAGACTGGACAGCCATTTCTCTGAAATGGTATAGGTCAGGGAACCTTGGCAACTTTAAGACTTGTGGACTTCAACTCCCAAAATTCTGGTAGGAATTCTGGGAGTTGAAGTCCAGAAGTCTTAAAGTTGCTAAGGTTGGAGACCCCTGGTATAGGGTCCCCTCCAAAGATTATTCTGACACCTTTGCCTGGCCCTCCATTCAGACTTGGCATCCTCAGTTTTCCTGCCTGAACAGAGGGTTGGACTAGAAGACCTCCAAAGTCCCTTTCAATTCTGTTATTCAATTATTCTTAAGTTAAATAGCTAAGACCCTCATTGGGACCCTCTCTCTTTTGCTCCCTCTGGTCTAATGGGTTAATAAGATTTTTAGAAACCTGTAGTTGAAAATTCTGCATCTCCTTACACTGAGGACCCAATTTCATTTGGAATTTAATCCCAAACTGATTGCCCTTTTAGCATTTCTCTTGATACTTCTCCAAAATGCACCCCCAAGAAGCCACATCTCCCCCCCCACACCCACACACACCCCAGAGGTTGGATTGGATATCTCTCTCCCTCCCTCTCTGCTTTAGGCTTAGAAAGTCTGCCAGTGCTGCTCCTCATTTGGCAATGCTTAAGGAGAATTAGGGGCTAGAGACAGTTGACATTCTCATCTCTGCTACAGGTGAGGCTGTCAGAAAGACTTTTTGGCAGGCACACAATGCCTGCTCCTCAGCCTCTCAGCACTAATGAGAGATGCGGCTCTACTGGCCAGGGTAGGCAAAATCTCTCATTTTGTACAAACCATCTGCTGCTGGCAGATACACACTTATGGGTGGCATGGGCGGGTCCATTAAGGGCACGGAAGTTCACTTCCAGTTCTTCCGAATAGGTGCGAACCGGTTGAATACCACCTCTGATCTCCTCGAAGGGGAAAAAAAAATATCTGGCCTTCTGGTACTCCAAGGAAGGAAAGAGTCAGTGTTTCTTTGTTTAGATGCTTTTGGGCCATTTCTCATCAGTATTTTTCCATTTCTATTTGAACTTATCTGTGGAGGCTGAGAAGAATGAAGTGTGCTTTTAATTGTAGTCTGGAGGTCATGTGAGAAGAATGTATTATTATTTTTCCTGTGAAACCTCCCTAAATTGTATGAGAAGACAACTTTCACATTCAGGCCATGGAAGAGCATTCTCCCAATCCAATTCAAGAACAAAGTCATCATGAAATGTGACTCAAAGAATCCTAGGGTACAGGTGATCCCTGAGTTATGACAGTTCACTAAGCCAGTGGTTGCCAAACAGTGGGCCATGGCCCACTGGTGGTCTGTGAAAAAATCTTGGTGGTCCACAGAGAAATGTCCCCCCCAAAGCCCCCCCAAAGCAATTAATCCAGGCTGCATGGTAATACAAGGCTATGCTGCCCACATAGCCTACCCATCCACTGGTCCCCACCCTTCGGCTGAACGCAAACCTGCAAAAAGCAGCGCAGCTCTCGCCAGCCAGGACGAGATAATGGTGCTGTTGCAGCAAGAGGCGGCTGGCGGCACAGGCAGGCTGAAGCATTGATGGTGATGACCAGAAGGTTCAGGAGCACCGTGTTACTTGCATTTGCACAGCACTCCCATATCTTCCAGCTTGCCTCTCCTGGCCTGGGCTCTTCCTTGATAGTTGCGGGCTGTAGGAATGGCTCAGGGCAGGAAAAGTACCTGCTGGTGGTGGTAGAAGGGGGCAGAGTACGCTCACCATCCAGTTCAGAGGTCTTTTTAATCCCAGCAGTATTAAATCCTCCCTCTTTCCCCTGAAAGGATGAGAGAATCCCTCCTTTCCCTTCGCTCTGCCCCACAGTTATAATTAATTAATTTATGATTTTGTTATATTTAAATAAGCATTTTTATTATATATATAAACTTTCAAATATTAAATTTATATTTAATATAAAAATAAAATTTTATGTTAAATATTTTTAAAAATATTTAAAAAAAAATTAAATATATTTTTAAAAAAATTCGTATTAGTGGTCCTCGGGATTTAAAAGTATGAGTTTGGTAGTCTCTGAGGTTCAAAAGTTTGGTGACCCCTGCACTAGGGGTATCAAGTTACGACCTAGCCCAAGTACTTAAGACTCAGTTCTGAAATTACAAATGCTGCAGCACCACAGCTGTCATTTACACTTACAAACAACAATCACCCTACCTATAACCCCACCCCACTCCGCTTGGATTTACATTGCGACGATGTAGCGATTCTTTTGCCTGCTTTGGTGCATTTGCAGAAAGAAGAGGCCTAATGTAGTGAGAGATTGGCGAGATCAGTAGTGGAAATATCACACTAAAGATCTCACGTGATCTCGCACTACAGTACTTTAGGCCTCCGTTCTCTGCTAACCAAGGCCTACATAATGCCCAGGGCAAAATCCTTTGCAAACAGAGGGAAGGCCTCTTCGTTTTCAAAGACTTTTGTCCTGGATCTCGTGCAGTCCTCAGTTCTTAAAAGAACAGAGGCCTAAAGTACTGCAATGCAAGATAATATGAAATTAGTAGCCTGAGATTTTGCACTATTGGTCTCGTGTTATCTCACACTAAAGTAGTTTAGGCTTCCATTCTGTGCGAACAGATGCCTGTACCAGATCTGGCCAAAAAGCCCTTGCAAGCCAATGAGATGAAATAGCCATTCTTGAAGCCTCCCATACTTTCCAGTCTAAGCACAAATAGTGTTTACAAGCCAATGGGAGGCTTCAAGCAAAGGACTTCACTCCAAAGTCTCATCGCTGGGATCAAGGAACGTACTGAGTGGGAGTCTTGCCTGCCAGTCATGCAGCGCTGGTCCAAGGTGCATCGAGGTAGAAGGAACTTAAAAATTGTTTCAGTTCTCACTGGTTTCTACTGAAATTAACCCACCCAAATAAATCAATCAATAAAACAAAATAAATAAAGCTTAGGACAGTGCTGGCTCTTCCTTTGTATCGGAGATGAGCACCACCCCTTAGAGCCGGAAACAAGTAGCATGTATGTGCGAAGGGAACCTTTACCTTTAATAAAGTTTTCTCCTAATTCTTTCTTGGATGTTTCCCGTAATTATTCCTTAACTCAAAACAGACATTGTGAGATTTGCATATATAGAGATAATTGTAAAGAAAGAGATGTTTTCTAGATATTTTCAAAGCTTTCATGAATAATTTAGAAATCATCGACTTCCGGTTTGAGCTTCTTCGGCGATGGACAGAATCTGCGACTGTGCATGGATTCAATCCGTGCTCGCCGCCAGAGCACCCCGAGCCGGCTGGATTCGGGGCTAAGCCATCCCGTAGAGGTGGTGAAGAGGGGGGAAACCGCCAGCAGGGCCGAGGAGAGCCGCATCTCTCCTCCTCAGCTGGCCATTACTCCCTTTCCCAAAGGCGGTTGCAGCAGTGGTCAGAAATGGCCACCTCAAAGAAGAACTCGACTGGAAAAGAATGTGCAGGAGGAAGATAAGAATAGAAAGTTTTGGTTGATCGGGTTGAACTGAAAAAGCAACAACGTAAGGTACCCTGGAATTGGAACTATAAAAAATAAAATTGTTCCCAAAGAAGACTTTGAAGCAGCGAAGGAGAGAGGGAAGGGAAAGGATTTGGCTTTTTTTCCCCTTCCCTTCCTTATACTGACAGCTAAGAGATTTAAGTAAGAAATTGACAAAAATCCATTTTGACATCAATAGGCATTTAAGCTGAAAATAAAATGTCAAAGGGATAATAAAGACTTTTGGATACTCAAAAACCTTTAAAAGCAGGAAAGGAGAGAAAAGGAAAGAATAAAAGGGTGGGATCTGGAAAAATGGAGGAGACTGCCTGGAACTAAAAGGAACTTATAGTGAAACCTTAACAAGATTCCTAAAACATACATTCTAACTGAAATTTTATAACAAAATAATAGAACCCCAGGAAGAGAAAGTGGAAAAAAGAAGCAAGAAGAAACAGCTTTTGATCATTTGCATTACTTGGTGATTTTTGGATTGTTGGCTATAGGATTTAAATGACTTAAATAAATCGGGTGGTTGTTTAAAAGTATTTAAAATGGCATCACTTTTAGAAGAACTGAAAATGGAACTTAAAAAACAAAGAAGATGCACAAGAAGGAAGAGGTTCTTTTGGCTTCGTATTTCAATTTTTAGAAATGGAGATCTGGAACTATGAGAAACAACAACGAACGCTTGTAGAACAAGGTCAGGACAAAGAATCGGGACAAAAGATGATGTAAAGCTGTTCAATACCCCAGACAATACTGCTACCCTTCAAAAAGATCTTGACTATGTAACAGAATGGTCAAACAAATGGCAACTTCAAATCTCAACAAATAAATGCTCTGTCTTACATATTGGCAAAAAAAAAACAAAAAACAGAAAATAAAATACAAGCTGAATAGTCAAGACCTTGTTGATGATCCAAGCTCTGTAAAGGACCTTGGAATACTCATCTCTAATGATCTAAGTGCTAGAGCCCACTGTAACTACATAGCCAAAAAGGCATTCAGAGTTATTAACCTAATCCTATGTAGCTTTTTCTCTGGCAATATACTACTTACTAACTAGAGCATACAAAACATGCTAGACCAATACTTGAATACAGCTCATCAGTCTGGAACCCGCATTACGTATCTGATATTAATACAGTTGAGAAAGTCCAGAAATATTTCACAAGAAGAGTTATCTACTCCTCTACTAGTTGTAGAATATCTTATGCCACCAGACTTGAAATTCTAGACCTAGAAAACCTTGAATTACGCTGTCTTCGGTCTGATCTAAGTATGGTATATAAAATCATACATTGCACTGACTTACCTGTCAATGAATACTTCAGCTTCAACCATAACAACACAAGAGCACACAATAGATACAAACTCAAGGTTAATCGTACCAAACTTGATTGCAGGAAATACGAATTCATCAACAGAGTGGTCAATGTCCGGAATACTCTATCTGACTCTGTGGTTTCTTTCCCAAACCCCAAAAACTTTAACCTTAGACTGTCTACTATTGACCTCACCCCTTTCCTAAGAGGTCTGTAGGGGGCATAAGCGTGATGCATGATGTGCATAAGCGCATCAACGTGCCTACCATCCCCATCCTATTGTTTCTTTTATTTTTCTTATATGTACTCTTTTCATGTATTCATAACTATGTATATACTTATACCTATTATCTTGTGATTGACAAATCAAAATAAATAAATAAGCCCTCTTTAATGATCAAGTTACTTTATGTAAGGGAAAAAAAGGAAAGGGGGGGAAAGAAAGTGAAAAATTTAAGATTTGAAAAAACAGCCAAAAAAAAAAAGAATAGTTTGAAAAATAATTACAATATTAGGAAGCAACACAAGAGAGGATTACAGAAGAAAGAATTAGAAGTAGAGAGACAAGGGAGCAAAAAGGGGAGGGAGAAGAAGAGGAGGAAGAAGAAAAGGAAAAGAAGTTATAAAAGACAGAAACAGGATATAGAGAAACAGGGAAAACGTATAAGGATTGAAAGTATAAGCCTATTTAGAGATAATCGGTAAAAATTTAATTGAAAAGGGGATTCTGCAAAGGTACATAAGATAGTATTGTTATATTAGAAATAGAAATAATTCTAGAAAATATGAAACAATGTATGATTAAAATGATGGATAAAATACTTACGGTAATGCAGTGGAATGTTTGTTAATAAATAAATGAAATAAGGAGAATTAAATGAAATTAGGAAAGGATGGGAACATTTTAATTGTTATGATTTATAAAAATATAAGTGAAGAGAGATATATATAAAAAAAGAATTAATTATGGAAAGTTTATAAGTATTCCCAAGGAAGTACGATATTCAATTGAAAAGAATTGTTAAAGACGTTAAGATTCTAATTAATATTAATGATAGAATTCAATTGGAATGGAATGAGTGTTTTATTTACTATTGTTATTTATATATATGTTTCAATTTCATATTTTCTCATTAAACAAATTTTCCCCTGTACTTACTAATTGGAGTATGACATATATATATATATATGTGTGTGTGTGTGTGTGTGTGTGTGTGAGAGAGAGAGAGAGAGAGAGATACTCCAATTAGTAACTATAGGGGAAAATTTGTTTAATGAGAAAAGATAATATGAAATTGAAACAGGACAGACAGTATAAATATAATGATTAGAAAGACATTGAAACTTAGAAAAAGATATATAATTGAATTTAGGTATGAGAAAATTAAAAATAAAGTTGAGAAAACCAAGGGAGGGGAAAAATTATGGAGAAAATGTTAAAATAGTAATAAGATATGGAATAGAACACAAAGATGAATATGAAATTGAGTTTGTGTCTGTAAGGAGAAGTGATAACCCAGGATCATGATATTCTCAAAAAAAGATGTTTTATTGTATTATGTTTTTTTGAACGCCCAAATAAAATTTATATAAAAAAAAATTAGAAATCATGTCTACATTACACCACTGTAAGCATGCAAACATACATCCTAATGGAATTTCCGAGAAACTCAGAAGGAAATTCACTTGACTGTACAATTTGATCTTTTTTTCTGACCTTATTATTATTTTCATTTCTCTTTTGCTTTAAAGGTAACAATGGACAGGAGGATCAAGATTCCTGTAAACCATTCCAAGTGATGACTGCTAAAGATGGAATGGAGAAGTTTGTAATTCGAGCGGAATTCGAAAGCCATGAGAGAAACCAGTCAAATAATTGGAATCAGGAAATTTCATCTTCCACTGATGCTCCTATGCAAGACTTTCTTGCTGGGCAAGAGAAAATAAGGAAAAAGTATATTGGGAAAAGTGTGAAGCCAATGAAAGCTAAACTACAAGTAAAAGAATACTATTTAAGCCAAAACAAAGCAGAAGATGCTATAAGAAGACACAACAGACAAAATTACGATGAGACATTCATTCCTTTTCTTGGAAATAAGTTCCTTATATCTCAGAAAGTGATTGACACAAAAGAGAAGCCGTATAAATGTTTGGAATGTGGAACATGTTTTAGAACAAGAAGGCAACTTACTTCCCATGAAAGGATTCATACTGGGAAGAAGCTCTACAAATGCAGAGAGCTTGATACCATGTTCAGAAGATGGAGTAATCTTATTTCCCATAAAATGATCCACTCAGGAGAGAAACCATATAAATGCACGGAGTGTGGAAAGTCCTTTGCTTACAACAGTAGACTTACTATCCACAAAAGGTTCCACACAGGCGAGAAGCCATTTAAATGCATGGAATGTGGAAAGACCTTTGCTCAAAAATGTACTCTTATTACCCATAAGGTGATCCACACAGGGGAGAAGCGGTATAAATGCATGGAATGTGGAAAGACCTTTGCTTATAATAGTGGACTTACAATCCACAAAAGGATCCACACAGGGGAGAAGCCATATAAATGCTTGGAGTGTGGAAAGACCTTTGCTCTGAGCAGTAGACTCACTATCCACAAAATGATCCACACAGGAGAGAAGCCGTATAAATGCATGGAGTGTGGGAAGACCTTTGCTCAAAGTGGTCATCTAATTTCCCATAAGATGATCCATACAGGGGAGAAGCCATATAAATGCACTGAGTGTGGAAAGACCTTTGCTCAGAGCAGTGGACTTAGTTACCACACCAAGATCCACACAGGGGAGAAGCCGTATAAATGCATGGAGTGTGGAAAGACCTTTGCTCATAAAAGTGACCTAAGAATACACAAAATGATCCACGCAGGGGAAAAACCATTTAAATGCATGGAGTGTGGAAAGACTTTTGCTCAAAGAAGGAGTTTTATTTCCCATAAGATGATCCACACAGGGGAGAAGCCATATAAATGCATCGAGTGTGGAAAGACCTTTGCTCAAAGTGGTCATCTCATTTCCCATAAGATGATCCACACAGGAGAGAAGCCGTATAAATGCATGGAGTGTGGAAAGACCTTTGCTCAAAAATGTACCCTTATTTCCCATAAGGTGATCCACACAGGGGAAAAGCCATATAAATGCATGGAATGTGGAAAGACCTTTGCTCGAAGAGGTACTCTTATTCGACATAAGATGATCCACACAGGGGAGAAGCCATATAAATGCATGGAATGTGGAAAGACTTTTGCTCGTGGGAGTTGTGTAAAAATACACAAACAGATCCACACAGCAGAGAAGCCATTTAAATGCATGGAATGTGGAAAGACCTTTGCTAAAAGCAATGACCTTAAAATACACAGAAGGATCCACACAGGGGAGAGGCCGTATAAATGCATGGAATGTGGAAAGGCCTTTGCTCAGAGCAGTGGACTTAGGTACCACAACAAGACCCACACAGGAGAGAAACCATATAAATGCATGGAGTGTGGAAAGACCTTTGCTTACAATAGTACACTTACTGTCCACAAACGGCTCCACACAGGGGAGAAACCATTTAAATGTATGGAATGTGGGAAGACTTTTGCTCGAAGAGGTCAACTTATTCTACATATGATGATCCACACAGGGGAGAAGCCTTATAAATGCATGGAGTGTGGAAAGACCTTTGCTCGAAGATATCATCTTATTTCCCATAAGATGAGCCACACAGGGGAGAAGCCGTATAAATGCATGCAGTGTGGAAAGACCTTTGCTCAGAGCGGTGGACTTAGGTATCACAACAAGATTCACACAGGAGAGAAACCATATAAATGCATGCATTGTGGAAAGACATTTGCTCGGAAGTATGGTCTTACTTGCCACAACAAAATCCACACAGGAGAGAGGCCATATAAATGCATGGAATGTGGAAAGAGCTTTGCTCAGAATAGTAATCTTACTTCTCATAAAAGGATACATGCTCGGGAGAAACTATATAGCAGTAGCAATTCCACTTAGACTTATATACCACTCCACAGTGATTTACCACACACTATGAGCAGTTTACAAAGTCAGCCTATGGTCCCCAGCAATCTATCTATCTTTACCCATCTCAGAAGGATGGGAGCTGAATCAACCATGAGCCTGTCAGAATCAAACTCCTGGCTGTGGGCAATTAGCCTGTAGTAGTGCATTCTAACCTCTGAACCACCATGTCTCTATAGATTTTTATGTGTATGCATGTTGTGCCTTTCTGATCCAAATGAGACAAGATTGAATCCAACAAA